TAATGTAAGATAGTGTTGATTGGACATATATTTTATTGGGTATGTGTACATATAGGTTATTGTGTATCTCAGCGGAGACTGAATTGGGCATCTGAACAAAAGGTTAACAGGATATGCCAATGGTGCATGACCTGCATAGAGTTTATTGGGTATGTCAAAAGGGGACAACGTATGGCTTGGAAGGGCATTTAATACATAACAATACCACAATACATGACACGTGATCTGCTGACTGATTATTATATTACATTCTAAGATGCCTAGTGGTTAGAACAATCGAAAAAAAAAATACATCATCAGACAATAAAGGCATAGTTTTTCGATGACGTAACAATTGAATGACGTTATCCTTTCACTGAGCCATTATAGTGTGCCTCCTCGTAATCGAACCATTTTACATTACATCACAATGAAAGCGACGTCACGATGCATGTCAGTTGTCATCGCCTCGTACTCCGTTGCTTCCCCTTTCTTGGTTTGCACTTGCTTCACGCAGCTAACATCACTGGTGGAAACATTACGTTTATGTTTTACAACGGTTAAAATGTGCCATTTCGACTCAAAAGTTTTCAGCGACACGGTAACGTTCGTAATGTTTACATTCCCATAATGCAATTGTGGAATGTCGCTTGACTACTCAACTTCCTCTGGATGTACTGATCTAAACTTACGCTGGTAGTAGAAATGCAACGTTCATATTGCCCCATATGGTTTACGTTAATGGCAGATGTAATAAAAATAATCAAGAGAAGATATTTAATCCGAACGTAAACCGTCATCAAACTGTTATCATTTGGTTTTTTTGTGGTAACGTTCGTCTTAACGTAGGGGGGCAGACACATCAATAGAACAGCGCGCCAGTTAGGCCTGTGCGAGGATTCTTAATTTAGGTCACCGACACCGTCGTTTGTTTTCTGCCTTAAATTAATCGTAATTATCTTTAGAAAGTATTAAATTTAGCATCTTAGAAAAGAAATACACTTCGCTCTACCACCATGTATAGTGTAATAAAACACACTTTTGCCCTGAACAATTATAGTTAAAGCACGAGGACGCTTGCGTCCGAGTGCTAACTACTGATATAATAGATTTAGGGCAAAAGTGTCGTTTTTATTACACTGTACATGTTGGTAGAGCGAAGTGTATTTCTTAAATAAAGGTATAGTGTTTTGATGACGTAACAATTGAATGACGTTATCCCGTCACCGCGCCATTCTAGTGTGCCCCCTCGTAATCGAACCTTTTTACATTACATCACAATGTAAGCGACGTCACAATGCATGTCAGTTGTCATCGCCTCGTACTCCGTTGCATCCCCTTTCTTGGTTTGCACTTGCTTCACGCAACTAACATCACTGATGGAAACATTACGTTTATGTTTTACGACTGACAAGTTTTCAGCGACACGGTAACGTTCGCAATGTTTACATTCCCACAATGCCATCGTGGAATGTCGCTTGACTACTCAGCTTCATCTGGATGCACTGATCTAAACTTGCGTTGGTAGTAGAAATGCAAGTTCATATCGCCTAATGTGGTTTACGTTAATGACAGATGTAATTAACGTAATTCAGAGAAGATATTTAATCCGAACGTAAACCGTCATCAAACTGTTATCATTTGGTCTTTTTTCTGGTAACGTTCGTCTTAACGTAAGGGGGGCAGACACATCAATAGAACAGCGCGCCAGCTAGCCCTGTGCGAGGATTCTTTATTTAGGTCACCGACACCGTAGTTTGTTTTCTGCCTTAAATTAATCGTAATTATCCTTAGAAAGTATTAAATTTAGCATCTTAGAAAAGAAATTCAGTTTGCTCTTCGAACTGTATTTCTTAATGAGTACACTATCTTAGTTACATCAGAGACCATATAATAGATATATGGTTAAAAAAAATGATGTCATATAAATTACAATTCCATCGTATTACTAACCTCACTAATGACAAAGAAATATATTGAATCTGAGATAAGGTTACATATTTTTAAGGTGAAATGCCATTAAATCTCAATGTATTTGGAGGTTCCATGCCAAAGCGATAGTAGATAATCATTGTCGATTACAAGTGCTTGTAACAGTCGCCCTCCATCTCTCGAATCCACAAATCTTGTGAACGCACCCAGGGTCTCGGTGGCTTGGAGAAGGGTTGGCAAAGGGTGGGGCTGGTTCGTCATTATCAATGTCAATGTCGCTGTCATTGACTCCTAATCCGTATTTCTCAGTCCGCAATTTAGAAACAACTCAAGCAATCACATGCTAGTCACGTGATTGCACAATCCCCTCATTGAAATCTCAGTATCTTTTGATTGGAAACTATAATCCGTTATCAGTTGTGTTTAGTCGTAACGGTGAGTACTTCCCTAATTAATTCATTCTTAATTAATCCCAATTAATCAAGTGACACCTTCAACTCAATTAGCCCTAATTAGTTTACACTACCGCATCTCTTTGATTTATGCCGCACCGTGTGTAAACATGTAGAAACAACCTCAGTTCAGAGGGATACTTGCCCATGAAAGGTAGGTGAATACCGAGTTTCTTATTAATATCGAGTTAAAAGGGTAATTTTGCTTGTGGGGACCTTGAAATTATATCAAGATATCCGAAATATCGAGACATCCGTATCAAGTTAAAAGAGCTTGAATAATGATAAACTATGAAGGATTTTGCCGGGACCGAGATGTTATATCGACACATCAGAGATATCGGGTTATCAGTGTTCGACACATAGGTGCTCGACTATATACACAACAACATAACTACAACATAACATAATATTATAATGCTCACACCAGTTGAATATCAAGGAAATACAGCTAACCTGACACGCACACGCAATTGGTTGCAATCTCCCAACTTTCAAATCAGTCCTTATATAGCCCCAAACTATAATACCCGATTGATTGACCCCCAACTTTCCAGATACATACAATGGTCTCCCATACTCCCATATGGTATTCTGAATAGGCTTACGACTTATGGACACTGTGTCTGAACATAAATATATCCGTATCTATTTCACACTTAGACTGAATTGAGGAATACCTGTCTACACTTAGCACAACATAATCAGAAAAACACAGTTTGTCTTTCATTATAAGCTCAATGTAAGTACGTTCACAGAATGATTGCAGCTAGTTACATCTAAGCATCTGACGTCTAATGATATCCACATATGACGTGTTTTCAAAGGGGGCATACAAACTTTTGTAAACAAATATTGGGAGTTTTGTGATACAAACAATCGGTGAATTACTACAATTTAAGGGAGGCGGTAACAGTTCCTCCCTTTCCCCATGCCGAATAATATTTATTAATTAATATATACTAAAATTATTAACAAAACCTAACACAACAATTACTATAGAAATCCACAAAAACGACTAAAAGACCATAACTTAGGTTACGTTTAGGGTTGGGGGAACGGAAGGACATCTTTCCAGGGAAGCATCCGATATGCTTATAATACAATTGTCGTCCATGTCATGTCACAGGTAACACGAAATGTGTTGTAATATGCTGCTTTCATCTGATAAAACTGGAGGGCTAACTTGGGACGATTAGAAATATTTCCATATAGAGTTGTTGATAAGTACAAGCAGTCGAGCGTCAAACGTTGCCATGCTCCTTATCTGACACGTCACAATGACGTCATAGCTGGCAGCTTTGCGGTCGTGGTGTCGCCAGTCAATGCATTTCATAGCTAGCAGTGAGACGAGTCGCTCGTGTTAGGACGTTATTGGTGGGTAAGTTTCTCAGTTCTACTTTTTAACTGATTTAGGAAATTTGATGAAGTAGTGTAAATGTACATTGTACGTCTACTGTAAAGCTGTATGAATATTGTAGGAACCAAGTGCTTGCTTCACACAATGTTTACACCAGACCTGTGTTTAGCTTGTCACCGGCGGGGGACGATGGAAGGTCTGGGTAAACCTAACAACGCAGCGTTTCACCTGATAGACTTGTTATATTTGATCAAATGATGTGCTCTTTCTTAGCGTTATGCTTTGACCTGATTGCATTTACCTCTGTCACGGAAGACTTTATGAGAATGTTTTAAATCTTTCCAGTCAAATATTTAATATACACTGTATTTCATTTCTTTTTATTCTGCGTCAATGAATAGTTGCATTGCATTGAAATACACCCTGCTATATAGCACACGGTGAAACGTATCAGTTAAAATCGGTTTACAATGAAGACCTGTAGAGTTGCTTTTTTAACAATGAAACCTTAAATGTGGAACACATGCATTTCTGCAACATTTTGAAAAAAGCAATAAATTATGGAAGGGCCACTACGCTTTATTCTCATTATTTGTGATATTGAAACAGACGGAGAATGGTAATCACTCGGACAGCGACATGTCTATCTTGACCACCACGCACTTTCAAGTGTTTGTACCCTTGTTGTTTATCAAAGCACATTGCTTCCATCGACAAGTACGGCTGTGTCAGCTGCAGTTTCCGCCTCAGTCAGTAGTTGTGTGAGAATTGCACTTCCGCCATCGTTCTATTCGGTATGCTGACATTTTCTGCGCGCTGGACAAAGTTTGCCTGACACTTTGTGACTAAATTTAAACTGTGTTGCACAAACAGGAAGTCAAAAGGCGAAACCGCATTATCAGTGGTTCGTGTCGTTTGCACAGGGACAGTGACGTCAGTCCTTAATTCTCCGTCCATTTAACAGAGTGGAGTATATATACCCGTGACTTGAGGTCACAGGATTTCAAACTGCCACTTAAGGAAGGATTTCAAACTGTTAAAAATAATTTAGGCAGTGTTACTCTTTTCCTGCATAGACATGCGGTCTCGATGGAGAATTATCTCAGTCAAATTGAACGATATATATTTAATACTTCTTTCATAAGATATGTATTTAGAATTTAATCATACATAATACTGAAAGGCGAAACATTATGTGGAAAGGCGAAAACTGAGCCAGCAGTAGAAATGCCTATGTGCTATGTATAGTTTTCTGAACAACATATTCCCTGTTTCAGCCTCGACAACCGACGTGAGTGATGATCTGACACCGAGCAAGACGGTTCCACCAGCGCCAGTGACGACGCAAGACTCTGATCCACACAGTAGGTGGAAAACCCAGCAGGCAGGAAGCTCAGTGGTGTCGATCGACGTTCATGTTGTCAGTCACAGGATTCCTTGAATCAGATAATCATGCTGAGGTCGCCATCAGACAGCTGGAATACTGCTGAGTGTGGCGTCAAACACCAACCAAAACACTGTGACATAAACCAACGTTATATCTTATTACCCTAAAACCAACAACAGTTGTACTGACATTATCAACTTGTAAAGTTCAACAAACATCAACACTCTAGCCGAACACAAGATATTGCTGCAATTCTGGCTCTAACAGAAAGTTCTGTGTTAAACACACCATCGTTTACCCCCGGAAACCACATGTTGACATTCCCGCCATGTTGTATTGTTGTCAGCCATGATGGAATTGTTTAAACGATGTAGCAATGTCCGAGTCACGTATCAACATGATGAAAACATTGTAGATGTGTGACACAGATGTCTGATGTTTACTTTGTGTTGCAGCGACTCCATCACCAGCAGACCGCCGCCTCTACTCCGCCAGCGGGGCCGGTGACCTGGAGACAGTGAAGCGGATCCTGGCAGCGGGTCACGTGGACATCAACACGAGAGGAGGATACTGGAGCAAGACACCGGTGATGGAGGCAGCATATGAAGGACACAGCGATGTGGTGGAGTTCCTGGTGGGTAGAGGGGCTGATGTGTCGCTGGTCAGCGGTAGCGGTAGCAACGTCCTTCACTACGCCTGTCTTCGTGGAGACTGGGAGATCGTGAAGCTGATCGTGTCCCTCAACGTGGTGGACATCAACGCCAGGAACAACAACGGGGAGACAGCGGCCGACTACGCGAGACGCCAGGGACATCAGCGAGTGGCGGAGTTCCTGGTGTCACGTGGTGGACACTGAAGTCGGTGTTGGTGTGGACAGTGACGGTGCACATGTCGTTACTGACACTGACGCGGTGTGTGCCGTCCACGTTGTCGTGTGTCACGATTCACGTGATTTCCTTTTTTCTTCCTGAATATAAATAAAACTTGTTGAATGTATTTTCAGACATTTTGTCATTTGTTGTGTTTGGAGCCTCGCAGGATCAGGTAAGAAAATTGTGAAGTGAGTGTAAACATAAGCGGTGAGTGATTGTACGTAATCGTCGCCCGTCTTAACATTATTCTGTGTTAATTTTGTTCTGAGTTCTGGGAATATCGCGAAACCGACAACAACAAACTGTTTGTTTACATGTCGCTGCACTCTGTGAACCCAGACTGAGCCGAGGGTGCGCCCAGTTGACATGGCGCCATTTGTACAGCCACAGTGACGTAACACTGCTGGTGACGTCACAGATATACACTGAGATGCCGGCCGTCTTCTCAGCCAGAGCGGCGCAATGCTGGCTTCATGCCAGACAACACAAAACACAGTGTTAGTCAAATACCATGTGGTCGGTATCGTTTAACAAAGGAAGAATGGACATATGTAGCTGATTACTGCTGAGATTTAACCCTTTTGGTGCCACAGGGACATGCACCCCTTCTACAGTGACTAAACACACAGTATATAAAATTAAACTGAAAACAATCATCACCCAAATCATCTCAGCTTTATTAATCCCTGGATGCCAGAATAACAAATATCTCCCTCAGTGTTCTAGCTGTTTCTTGATCTAACATACTGCTATTTAGGTAAAACACAATTGCTGAAATGACCGGTAAGAATTATGTATATCGTAAATCTCGCCATTTTTGACACATGAAGAATTCGCCATTTGCGGCATCGTGTACTGTATGTTGTAAATGTAAATATCGGATATTTACCCGTTGAACTGAATTTGAAAAACAGACAATTAGTGATCATTGGCATGTGTTTGTCAAATCGGCAATGATTATGCTGGAACCTAGCCTATAACCTATGGGTAACCTTTAAATCGTCTTTGGGGCAGGCAAACACAAACGCCGAAGTAAGCCTTCCTTTATATTTAATAGTGAGTGAGTTAGCTTAGTTTTACGCCGCTTTTAGCAATATTTCCGCAATATCACGACCGGGGACACCAGAAATGGGCTTCACACATTGTACTCATGTGGGAATTGAACCCGGGTTTTCGGCGTCACGAGCGAACGCTTCAACCACAAAGCTACCCATTCGGCCCTATTTGACAGTGTTTAGAAAATCCTGTTTCACGTGAGGTCTTCATGAAACGCCCATTACATCGCACGTGTTTAACACTCAGTTGCAACACACACACTGAATTCTTCATTTATTTAAAAATCAAAGGACTGATGGTCTTTGTTACCCGTTCAAATAGTGTTGATGATATTAACCCCCTGGATGTCGTTCAAATAGTGTTGATGATATTAACCCCCTGGATGCCGTTCAAATAGTGTTGATGCTATTAACCCCCTGGATGCCGTTCAAATAGTGTTAATGATATTAACCCCCTGGATGCCGTTCAAATAGTGTTGATGCTATTAACCCCTGGATGACGTTCAAATAGTGTTGATGATATTAACACCCTGGATGACGTTCAAATAGTGTTGATGATATTAACACCCTGGATGACGTTCAAATAGTGTTGATGATATTAACACCCTGGATGACGTTCAAATAGTGTTGATGATATTAACACCCTGGATGACGTTCAAATAGTGTTGATGATATTAACACCCTGGATGACGGGTTCTGTCTGAAGAGTGAACGTTTTGTGAGAATCGTGCTCACGCAGCCCTAAATCTATCTTGGGCTATAAAATTATACAGAAATGTACAATATTAAATTCAATTTCCAATCCGATGGTATAAATTCAAATACTTACTGTAGATACTGAACCGGCTTGCACAAATAAACCCTACTAAGTGCTGTCTAAAGTTTATGTTCATTTTCCTTAATAACTATCCCAAAGTGGATGGTTGGAAAGATCCTCGTCTCGGGGTGTGCTTCTTTTGTACTTATATAAAACTTCAGTGATGTTATTGAAAAAACAAAAATATAATGTATATAACGTCTGCGACCTTTCGGCGACACGGGGTTTTCTATAAAATTCTCTAACATCTGGATATATGTTCAGAAATAAACAATGGAGAAATTATTGTCTAGATATATGCTATTAAGTTTTGTACAGTTTTTTTTCAAATATACACATCGTTAAGTGTTCGCCATAACATCACTGTTTCGCTCGCAGTACCTTTCGGCGATTTGCCTTCACGCCCCTGTGCGTCAAAAACTTGAAAGTTCAAAAGCGGCAACGTCGAAATAAACTCTTAGCTGATAACTCAATCATGTCTGTAGATATTGTGGGAGCTAACAGACAAGACTAATATGCCACCAAGAACACGTTTAAATACTTAAAAACACTTGCTTCTTCGATCAAAATAACAATGTAAAAATCTGTAAATAAATTGAATTCATGTTTCACACGAAGGCCCGTTCACGTTTTGTGTCAAATCGGATCCCGTTTGCTACAGTTTTTCGCGCACTACACGAGGCGACTTGGCAGCACAAAGCTATGGGAAATGTTTGGTTGAAAACAGCAGCATGTACAATTGTATCAAAGGCGATGCCAGTCCTATGACACAATCTATTTCAAGATTTCGCAACTGGAAGAAACTGTTTGCTTGTAACTTGATCGCGATTGTGAGGTCTCGTATCATGTTGTTTTCTAGCCGAGAGCCGCGATGCGGTCCTATACAGTCAAGACATGACCCTGCATCGCGGCCGAGAACACCACCTTCATAAATCCTATTCAGATTCTAGTGGCCGATTACCCCTCGTATTTTCTTGAGATTTTTTAAATATATTTATAGTGGGTTTTGACTGAAAAGTCGATATCGATGTACTCCCAGATAAATTCCCTATACATACACGTAACTGTCATATTTTTGTGATCATATATTTAGATATTAATGGGCCTGAAACCCGTTGAGGTCTTGTTTCAACGTTAGCGAGCTGACATGTTGACATGTTGTGCGCATGCGACAAATTTCTATAGGGCCCGTAAGTCTCGCGAGGCACTACTTCCGCTACTAGATTTCCGGTGACAAGCGAATACGCAAGAACCAGTTGTGGTGCCAAATTGCGCGACCGCCTAATATGACCTTACTAGACCGGACCAAGTGTACTACCATGCTTGGCTGTCACAGATGGTGACAGTCATAATAGTGGATCATTTGGGGACGATAAGATCGAAAAATTATTATTCCTTCAAGGATTATCGGTTCCTTACTGACAACCTGACAACCATGAGTCAATTCGAAACCATATGAGTACCTTTCTTTAGCTATAATATATTTTTGACAACCAGTGCAGTTCTATCGCTAAACGTGTTTCTTTTCAGTATCGCATTTGGACAGTGTTGGTCACAAAACTTATTTCGGGAATCAATGACATGGTTAACGTAAAATGCATTTGAGTAATCTGTATTTATATTGAATTAATAAAAAACTATTAATTAACATGCTGCTATTCATAAAACAGCCATGTGTTACCAACTTTATCAAGTTGATGTTCTATTCATATTTGGCCACATTGACTATGTCATTTCCCTTTTCAATTAAAGTATGTAATTCCAAATAAGATTATTTTTGTTTGTTTAATTTGTTATTTATTTTCTAAATACATTTGTTATGCTGCAGCAATATTTTGTAACTATTCCAAATTAAAAACTATTTTTTACATATTCAAAATATTTATATTTGTTAGGAACTATTTGAGATCAAATAGTTCCTAACAAATATCAATATTGATATGTAAAAAATAGTTTTTAATTTGGAATAGTTACAAAATATTCAACAGAAACGATTTGCTTTATGCTATGTAAAATGCATGTGTATAAATACTTGAGGTACTAATACATACACTGTGTAAACTAATTGGTAGGCTTAAAACTTTTACTCTCTTCCAAGAACAAGGGATGACTGTATGCAAGTTCAGGTGACAGAATGACTCAAAGATACAAGAAATAAATTGTTTGTTGTTTTGCAAATGTGAAAGAAAATACATTATAAATTTTACTTTGGATAGATGACAGGGATCTGCATGTGTCAAATTGTTTCTTTGCCATGCTGTAAATATACTGATAATGATATATTGAATACAGGGATTGGGATGGAGACCTTCGACAATTTCAGGATTATTAGCCATTTTCTGAATTTAGAATGGGCCACTGCCCTTGTATCAATAGTAAACTTCAAAATTTTAATGGGGCATTTTTATTCTAATGTGCAAAATGGCCCCTGTCTTTCCCAATGCCTGGAATAAATAGCAGTTCTTGTAACATTATAATTTTTTTTATAAATATATGAACTTTCCCATTTATTGTGACGTTATTATTCACACAAGAAGTCATAGTGTCACAAATCAATAAACAGCACGACAAAATAACCTTGATGGCATGGTTACAATTATTTCGGTTACTACTGTCAGATATTCAAAATGTGAAAACCCTCAGCCATATGAATATTCATCATGAAACAATTATTTATCAAATTATGTAAACATTATTTTAGAGGTGATATATAAAAACTGGTTGTTGGACAATATTTATTACACTTTGTACTAGATGTCTTGGAGTGAGTGAACTATGTACTATGATCTAAAAGTACATGAGTGTTACTTAGTTCTTGGTTATGCAGGGGTGCGGTTCTGCTATGCTGTAAGCAAAATATGAAGCAGCACACAGCACCTTCAAGTCACAATTGGCAAAAATGCAAGACCAAATACACTCAAAATATGGAGTAATCACTCAAAGACATTTCCTGTATTGTAAAATATACTGATCAATACATGGGGAAACTAAATGGGCATATATAGTATGTCATGACTGTAGATTCTGCAGACACTGGCTGAGAGCAGCATGAGTATGATTACTTGTCATGTAATATAGTGGTTTTCACCCATTTTTAGTAACTTATATATTCCAAATATTCTGCCAATGAGGCCAAGGTTGGTAACTGGCATTCCATATTTTCAACTACACAGTTAGACCAATATGTTTTAAAATAATGGAAAAGAATAATGTGTACTGGTTATTGTGCTATGAAACAGTGTTGTAATCTTA